TACTTCTGATTTGTCATTAGTGGTTTACGCTTTTTATACTTATTTTGGGGGAGTGGTTTCGGCTTCCCGGGCGTGTGTTTGAAAATGGTAGACCAATGGGAGGAAAAAGGTTGTGGTCTGTGCCTACAGTCATCATTAGGTGGTGCTGCTGCTCCACGGTTCAGTGGAATCCGAGGGTGTGATTTTGTAGTTTTATGAGCCTTTTGTTGCTGGGGGGGGGGGGGTTATCACAATGGAAGTGGACGGAGCCATAAAGTCCAGTCAACCACAGGTGGTCATGTAGATCAAAAGGAATGGATGGCTCCGGGGTTCCCTGTGAGAAGGTAGATTGGGTGATCTCCCATGGTTTTCAGGGAGTAGAGGTGTTATAGAAAGTTGGTGTGAAGATCTCCCATTGTTCCCAGGGAGAAGAGGTGTTTTTAGAAAGTTGGTGTGAAGAGAATTTGGGGAAATTCTCTTTGAATGTGTGGGGCTATGTGACTGTGTGTGCTCGGGAAAGCCTTTTGGTGTCTTAGCAGCTTCCTGCTGCAGACCCAACCAAATGTGAAAACCACTGAAATCTAACACAACCTAATTGTACTTATGTAGCACTGTTCACACACAGGCAGCAGCTGCAGCAGTGCTTTACATAATAAAACCAACAGCACCCCCTCACACACATCCCTCAAGTGTACTATTATACACACACAATCATGAACACACACATACACACACATTCACATGCATTAACAGAAATACTGAAGGACACAGGGTGAGTCATTTTAAACTAGTCCAATGATTACTTTTATGATGACTATTTTATGTTAAAAGAATGAATAACTAAAATCTAAAACTAAAATCTTCCAAATCATGTTCTATGTAACCTTAAATGATATAAACTCCCTGGAGTTGTATCATTATATCTTCAGGTGTTGTAGATGGAACCCCTGAAGGTTTAATGGAAATGGAACATCCATCTATCCATCCATTTTCTTCCATTTTCTGCGGAAGGCAGCGGTCTTCATGACCGCCACCCAAATCACACTGCACCGTACCGGCCCCTCGTGAACCTTCCTGCAGGTGGTGTGTCCACTGGAAGGCGCCAACCACCCTGACCAGGATTTGATCTTGCCCAGGAGGTGAACCCTGGGGTTCCACACCAATGACAGAGACATTGCCTCTGGGACAAAGCGCCACTGGATATGGAACAATTAAAAAAAAAAAAAAGAGCAACCATCAAAACTCTTACCAGCAGCGTCAGATTTTCCTTTTTCTTTTTCCCAAAACTGAAAGAAGAATTAGAATTTGGATTCTAATTAAACAAACAAAACAACAAGCAAAACTATTTCAAAAGTATTGTCTCTGTCATGTTCTGTCTAATTACACAATGGTGTTCAGGAGTATAGAGTAAATTCCTAACTGCATGTTTCACAGGTGCACTCTCTCCCGGTGTGTTCAGTGGTGCAGAGGCAACAGATTTCTACTCCAGTTTGGACTCTGCTCCTGAAATCATTGCAGTGAGCACAAAGTCCCATTGATAGTCCAGATACCTGAGACACCTGGCAAAGCTCAAGCATCTAATTCCCTGAGAGTGTGAAAGACAAAAGTAAATATCTGAGCAACATAGACTGGGCCTCAAGTTTCAGTTTAGAACAGAATTGCATTCTTTTTTCTTCTTGGTTGTAGTAACCCCCACCTCAATCTAAGGTTGCTCATGTTTCCTTCTTTTAACCCTTGTAAGGTCCTTCAGGTCTAGGTGACCCTCGGGTCACCTGGACCCAATATGTCTTTGCGTGTGTGTGTGTGTGTGCGTGCGTGCGTGTGCATGTTCCTGTACTGCATGACTTGTGCCAACCTTTCCTCATATTCATTAATACTCATATTCTGGGACAAGATGAAAATCATTGCAAGGACAAACGGTGTGTACAAAAATGCGAAGGACCGCACAAGGGTTAAGATTAGTCTTGTATACACACACACACTCACAGAGTCCTGCTGGACGTTTCATGTTTACATTCATTTCATTGTTCACTGATGACATTGAACACTGAAACAAAACAGTATGCTTCTTGTCTCCTCGTCGATTCTGATTATCTTCCCTCTTATCCGGTGCATTTTATTAAGGAGAGTGAATAAGTGGACTGTCCAGACTGATTGTGCCACCTCAGCAGGTGGGACGGACTTCAGACAAACTCTGCCTGATCTCCTAACATACTTCTCTACATGCACAGATCCACCAAGTGTTGTGTGTGTTTGTGCACAGGCAGAAGATGGTCTTCCTCACAACAAAAATGATGCAGAGGAGGGCACTCTTTGTGACATTCGGGGGTTTGGTGATGTCTTTTATCACCATGTTCATGCCCCTGTGGAAGACTATGAACTCAGAACTGAACGAAGTGGAAAACTAGTACTCCGGGCTGTTTCACACCTGCCTTTACACTGAGGAGGTGGGCATTCAGTGCAAGGCCTACGAGTCCATCATGGTCCATCAGGGAGTACCCTGTGGACCTGCAGATCTCCAGGGTTCTTATATCTGTATCCAAAGGAGCCGGAGCCTTAGCCGTGTTGGCAGCCTTTCCTGGTCTGGAAGGTGTTGAGATATGTGTCCGGCATCCTGCTCGTAAAAAGGTTTCTCCTGATCCTCAGCAGTGTGCTGTCCTGGGTGTCGGGTCTCACCACCTTGGCTCCCATCTCTATCGTTGCCTACACCACTGTGGTGGACTTCTGGAACAAGGGTTTTCCTGATGTGATGTCACGGTGGGAGTACGGAGAGGCCATGTTCTCTGGCTGGTTTGGAGGTTTGGCCCTGGCTCTTGGAGGGACCTTGTTCTCTATAGCCGTGTGTATGGGAGACTATGACCTGAGGACACAGAGTGTCCAGAATGACCTGCAGTTGAAGCACAGGACAAATCACTACCTGAAAACAGAGGTTCTCAAGAATTATCATCATCTAATGTGTGTGAATCAAATGTTCTTCAGACAGTAGTTCTGACATAAACAACTTTTCTGAAAACAGAAACACTGTATTCCTCAATGTGAGCTATTGCTTTAGAAAGTACATTTGATTAATTAGAGAGTTTTGCTTTTCCTTTCCAGCGAACCCCTATACTGTATATCAAGGATACAATAGTGCCATTGACCTCACTTATTTTTACTAGTTATTTTACTTTAGTAAGTAATTAGTCATCATTTTGAGACAGTTTCTCCTTTTGGAATAGAAAAGGCAGAAAAGCTTTTCCCATTTTTTCAGCATGTTTGTGAATACTACTTATGATCATGTTATTGACACATTCATTTAAAATTATTTTATTAAATATTTTTATTAGTGTGGCACTTTGGCCCAGAGGCAATGTCTCTGTCATTGGTGTGGAACCCCAGGGTTCACCTCCTGGGCAAGTTCAAATCCCGATTAGGCAGTTGGTACCTTCCAGTGGACCACCTGCAGGAAGGTTTGGGAGGTTGGTGCGGTGCAATGTGACTTGGGTGGCGACTGCTGCCCCCGTGACCCGGTAACGAATAAGCGGATGAAAATGGACGGATGGATGGATGGATGGATGGATGGATGGGTTTTTATTAGTGTAGTGTAAGTGCATTTTATTATTTAGAGTTTTTGCAAGCATTTTCCAAAGTTTTTTAAGCAGACATTGACATTTCTGTAATACGACATTATATAGAAATAGATAATTTTCCCCTTATTGTGTCATCATGTACTTTCTACTTCTTACTACTAAAAGATTCTTGCTATATTTTGATCCGGATCACAGCACCAGTCAAAAAGATTCTTACTGTGCGAGGTGTCTTCAGGCAAGGAATGGAAGCAGCCGGTAGATGGTCGATTCATTTTAATAGCAAACGTCAAACAAAACAGGTCCAACAATAAAGCAAAATAAACGACTGGAGAAGTATTCAAGGTTGTTAATACGCAAATCCAAGAACTAAAACTTCCTAAGAATAAATTCTCAAGAATAACTTCCCAAGAACAACTTCAGCATCCCCTCAGCAACTCCATGAATACTGCATGCAGCTGAGAAACTGGCAGAGGTCCTCTGTGCTGCATTTGCAGCCTTCAGCCAACGAAAGAGAGCAACTCCCACGACTGGTCTGTTCAGTGTGCTGCTGCTGCTGAAGGGGGAGGAAGCTCGCAGTCTTTACTGCATCAGGAGGCAACAGAGGAGATGAGAACAGATTGTTTGGAGGAGGAGGAGGCTACAGAGGGACACGCAGGCTGGGAATACCCCAGTGGACAGAGTCCATCTCAGAGGGACAGGACTGTGAGGACCGTGACCTGATGACATGCTGCCATGGTCCTAGGACTGATTTGAACATCAGAGGGAGTTTGGTGTGTTCTGAGTTTGACTGCATCTCCTCCATGTTCACTGGTTGGTCACTCTCTTTAACAGTCTGTTCCCTTTATACTTGTGGATATTCTCAGTCATCCAGGTCATCATAACAATCTCAAAAGCAGTTTTAAAAGTAGGCAAGGCAGACCTGGATGACTGAGAATCTTCATAGACTTTATTCTAATTAATTATTCTAATTAATTTCACAAATAATTATCACTTTAAAGTATTTGTTGTGGTATTTTGTGTAATATATACTATGGCTTCTATTCTATAACTAAATCTCAAAAGTCAGTTTTAAAAAAATATGTTTCTATATATGCACATGAAATGTGTTATTATGTACATGTTGAAATCTAAACAAAATTTTACATGACATTAAATAAATGCAGTCAAAAACAAGTTTGATTTTCCAAGTGTCTCATTGAGACTGTCAACAGTGTAACAAATAATGCAACCAACCAGAGGCCATGGCTACTTGCCATCATCATTAGCACTAATTACCTGTATGGCTGCATTGATCTGATCGTTTGTGAGAACATAAACAAAAATAAAGACTATTTGACCACTAGACTCATTTACAGCCTCAGCTGCTTATCACAGCACTCATATCCCGTGCATACATAAGGACAAGTGACGTTATTGATTTGTTTGTTTATTTTCTCCACACTGACAGGGAGAGTGGCAGCTCTCAGCATGATCGGCCAAGCCACCGAGATGAAAACTGTGCCTTACTTCTGGTCAGCCATGTTTGGGAAGACGATCCGATACGCAGGTAGATGTGAAGACGTTAGTCTTCAATGAAAGATCGTTGGTTGGATTGGATCAGCTTCATCATGAACCAGTTATTAAACTTAAATGTGACCGTTTGTCTCTCATTGGTACAGGTTATGGTGATGGTTTTGATGATGTCATCATACAAGGAGATCTGGATGAACTCAGATTTGTAGCATTTTATACCAGGTAAGGCTTTAAAAACACTTTAGAGCTTCCTGGTTGTTTCCTGGTTGAATTGAATAAACTTCTATGACATAAATTAATAGAAAAGTGCACCTTCTTTTTCAACTGAAAGTGTATTTTAATGTTGCCTTTATTACCACTGTTGTTTCATTACTTTAATTTAAGTTTTATTAAATGAAATGAAATTAATAGTCTAGAACCAGACCAACTGTCTATCACTAAAATACTCCAGGTTACTCTAGTTACTAAACAAATACTAATTTCAATATGTGGTCCTAGTGTTTTACAACTTGTCCCCATGTCTCCCTCTGCTCCTGCAGGAGTGAGGAGGTAGTCGCTGTTGCTAGTATGAGCTATGATCCCATTGTGTCCCTTGTTGCAGAAGTCTTAGGATTTGGAAAGACGATTAAGAAACGAGATGTGGAGTAAGTCCATTAACCAGACTTTAATCTGGTTGTTCTTCAGTTTTCTTTGGTATTTTTTTACACTGTGTAGAAAAGCCTGAAAAAACTATTCTCACTCTGATTGAAAACACAACAAGTTGTGGGTCTTGTGACTTTGATCACAGGCAGCATATTATTAACTACAGTCATTGACTTTTTACTGAAGTGTCAAAGTCCTGCAAAAACCAGCAGCTTTGTTTGTGCATGTGATACTAATACACTAACACCTGACTTTGCAAGTTATGCAACTTGTTAACATCTCTAATGATGTTATATGCATACATGTGGCAGAGAATTAGGGCCACATTCTTCTTTTTCTTTCAGCTTTGTCCCTTTTTTCAGGGGTTGCCACAGCAAATCATTGATTTCCATCTCTCCCTGTTCTCTGTATCTTCTACTCTGACTCCAACTATCTGCATGTCCTCCCTCACTGCATCCATATATCTCCTCTTTGGCCTTCCTCTCTTTCTCCTACCTGGTAGCTCCATCTCTAACGTTCTTCTACCAATGTATCCACTGTCCCTCCTCTGCACATGTCCAAACCATCTCAATCTGGCTTTCACAGGGCATTCACAGGAAACCCCGGATCCATCCGTTCCTTTTGATCTCAGCAACAAAAGGTTCATAAACATGTCCTCCAACACTGCTGAATCATGGAACAACAGCGCCACATAGTGGCGACTGCAGGCATAACCATGATACAAGAACAATAATATGATTGGCCACAAGAGGCCTTGCATCTCTCTTCCATTGGCCTACAAGATTTAAACACACACCCGGGAAGTCGAAAACCACTCCCCCCACACAGGTATATAAGCGTAAACAACTACTGATACATTAGAAGTTATTCTTGAGAATTTATTCTTAGGAAGTTTTAGTTCTTGGATTTGCGTATTAACAACTGTTGTATGAGATTTCCTTGAATACTTCTCCAGTTGTTTTATTTTGCTTTATTGTTGGACCTGTTTTGTTTGACGTTTTGTTATTAAAACGAATCGACCATCTACCGGTTGCTTCCATTCCTTGCCTGAAGACACCTCACACAACAAGAATCTTTCAGACATTATACCATGACAAACGGAGCCATACCTGAACACACTGACGTCATTGTCGTCACAACATATATATACCATCCATCCATCCATCCATCCATCTTCAACCGCTTATCCGGGGCCGGGTCGCGGGGGCAACAGTCTGAGCAGGGACACCCAGACTTCCCTCTCCCTCGACACTTCCTCTAGCTCTTCTGGGGGGACCCCAAGGCGTTCCCAGGCCAGCCGAGCGACGTAGTCGCTCCAGCGTGTCCTAGGTCTTCCCCTAGGTCTCTTCCCAGAGGGACGGCACCCGAGCACCTCCCGAGGGAGGCGTCCGGGGGGCATGCGATGTAAATGCCCAAGCCACCTCAGCTGACTCCTCTCGATGTGGAGGAGCAGCGGCTCTACTTCGAGCTCCTCCCGCGTGACAGAGCTCCTCACCCTATCTCTAAGGGAGCGCTCTGCCACCCTGCGGAGAAAGCTCATTTCAGCCGCTTGAATCCTTGATCTCGTTCTTTCGGTCATGACCCACAACTCATGACCATAGGTGAGGGTAGGAACGTAGATTGACCGGTAAATTGAGAGCTTCGCTTTTCGGCTCAGCTCCTTCTTCACCACAACGGACCGATACAGCGACCGCATTACTGCGGCCGCAGCACCGATCCGCCTGTCAATCTCACGCTCGATTCTACCGTCACTCGTGAACAAGACCCCCAGATATTTGAACTCCTCCACCTGAGGCAGGACTTCATCCCCGACCCGAAGGGTGCATACCACCTTTTTCCGGTCGAGAACCATGGCCTCGGACTTAGAGGTGCTAATTTTCATCCCAGCTGCGTTACACTCTACTGCAAACCGCCCCAGTGCATGCTGCAGGTCCTGGTTCGAAGAAGCCAACAACACCACATCATCTGCAAAAAGCAGAGATGAAATCCGGTGGCTACCGAACTGGACCCCACCCGACACCTGGCTGCGCCTAGAAATTCTGTCCATGAAAATAATGAACAGAACCGGTGACAAAGG